AAACAGCTTCACAGCTTTTATCGATCTCATTGGAGCAAATTCGCGTTAACGAAACATACGTAATTGCAGAGATGACTGTATTTATAATTTTTATTCAAAATCTGCGATGTAAGAATTACAATTTAGTATAGGAATCAGTATGAGATACATTGTGAAATGTTATAAATAATAGTAAATTTTTTGAATTGCTGGTTTCAAAATCGGCGTGGTCAGCCAGGCGAGTTTACATGAGAAATGTGAAGTGTGTTGTAAATGAGATGTTATCAGATCATCACATATTTTTGTATCTTTTTATGCACAGCCAGTTTAATAATGTTCAATAAAGGGACATGTCTTGATTGTAATGAGAGCATTATTTCATTTGTTTTCTATACCATGAGCTCGTTTGATCACAACCTGTCCAAACCCGTTCAAGCATATCTAAACCTCTTTGATTGTGCCGATCCGTTATAAACCTGTCAAGACTAGTTTATACGAACCAACTCCTACCAATTTAAACGTGTTGAAACATGTCGATACCCGTTTAAACTTCTCATATTAGTCGGAATCTGCTCTAACATATGTAAACCTCTTCGAATGTATCCAAACTATAGTAAATCTCTTATGACTGGTTGGATCGAACAGACTGTGACCTGTTTAAGTCTGTTGAACCTTGTCAAAACATCTCATAAACTTTTTAGATTTTACAACCATTCTTGACAATTAGTTTTCTAATTTATAATAATAGAATTTCGAACAGATGTGCAGGGGTTAATCATCTTTACGTACGTCGCTTATAGATTTTCTAGGTTTACCATTCACTACGTGGTATCACTCACGTGCTCCACCACACAAGTCGCAGATAGAATATTTAGTTGTGTGTGGAATTTGCTGGTTGCATATCTTGTGGTGGCCGATTGCAGTGGCCACACGATCTGAGGCATGGACCTCGTGCGCCCGGCCGCTACGTCCGTGGGTTCGAATCCCACTCAAGGCATAGGTGTTTGGCCGCGTCTTTCTGTGTTTGTATAGGTAGAGGCCTTGCGATGGGCTGATCACTCATCCAAGGAGTTCTACCAATGTCCAAATAGATCTCGAAGCTTCAAGCTAAGCCTCGGATGGAGGCGAAAAATTGAAGAGGCCGGGTGAAATGCCTTGCGATTTCAGTTGATTATTCAACTGTGTATGTTGATTGTTGAATAATTCTTTTAAATGGGATACTTGTAGGTATGGAGCGGAGCTAAGTCCGGCTCAAGGAGAGTTAGAGGTGTCTTTCAACTTCCAAAATCACGAGTCCAATTGAGGAAGAATTTATTAAAAGGTGTTGATATAGTGCCTAGTAGCACTTTCAAGAATGTCCTGTATCCAGCAATTCAAAGTTACAAAAAGAGTCCTCTATTACTTCCAACATGAGTATTTATAATGCTCGTCTTGGGCGTTGGTCAAAAGAGTGGGGCTATATCAGTCTGCACGTGGTGGTGAAACATGAGAGTTGAACAAAGACACCCAGTTAGTATTCTTTGGTAACAACTCCAAGCGTTTCAGGCACGTATGCAGTTTTAGGACAAGCAGCCTTTGTTCCCCTTGATTAGTCATAACCCAAGAATCGAGCCACACAATGTTATTATACAATAAAATTTACACTTTTAATTTTACTGTCTTAGGTCTCTTATTACACAGGGTTCAACTTTGAACTGCAGCGCCAAGAAAAAAAAATCTTGTGGTGGAAACCATAGATTTCGAACGAGTTGTTTATTATCTACGTTCATGATTTGCATTGGTCAGCTTCGGTTTGCTATTGCAACCATTCTGTAGAGTTAGATATTTCTCTCTTGTCTTCCTGTGGTTCCAAGTGATAAACTTTCACCTTCATTACTCTGATTTCGGAGGTATCAAGTACCTTCGAAAACTTCTACCAGACTACCAGGCGGTATAATCAGAAGATAGCCAGCCTTCTTTGTCGTACTAACCGCCGTTTCTAACCTTAAATCATATTTCTATCCTAGCGTTGGTGTTATGTTGGTTACACAGATTTGCTGCTACTCTGTGGACCCGCCAATGCTAAGGTCGTTTGGTTGGCATCATAGCTGTTTACATGTGTAGGTTTAGTAAGAGTGTATGTATGTATGTATGTAATTTATTACGCGCCGGTTTGTGCTTCATTTTCAAAATATCGGTGAATAATGTCAGACGACTTGCCATATATAGCAGAATACGCCAAAAGCGGCCGTGCAACATATAAAGGATGCAAATCTTCTATTGAAAAGAATTCACTGCGTTTGGCCGTTATGGTCCAGGTAGGAATTTACAATATAACTGGCTTCCGCCACATTTAAGACTTTGCTTGGAGGTGGCTTATAATTGGTCCATAAACATATAACGTACAAATAGTAGTTAACCCTCCAGGACTCGCGTTGTGAGCGCAGCGCAGCATTTTCAGTAAAAGTCTGATAACTCTTTCTAGGAATTGTTTTCTTTCCTGTCGCTTTATCTATGTTAAGAGGAAACCCCCTTCTATGGAAAATTCTAAGGAAATATTTCTAGCTACGACTATAGACCCACTTTGTTCAGTTTACTTTTACAATTCTCATAGTGCGGCGGCCCGCTCAAACGCGAGTGTTTGTGTTCCAAAGTGAATTCTTTTAAGTTTGGGTTAATTTCTTATTTATTGGTCACGTTTACCAATAATGGCTTCTAAAACAAGATCATCTGATCCAAATGTTTGGTTGAAGTGGTTATTAGAACAAGAAGAACGTGAAAGAGAACAGGTGAGTGCAAGAGAAATTATAGATTGTGAATTCGATGATAGTCAGGATTCTGATGAGGAACCACGAGAGGAGAATCACGGTAGTCAATCAGAAAACTCGGCTGAACGTTTAGATGAAGATTCCAATGCAGGAATAAGTGATCTTTATCTTGGCATAGATAAAATGACTAAATTTCGAACCTTTCCCCTTCGAAGAAGTAAAAAGGCGCCAATGAAAAACTTTTATCTCTCACCTTCCTGGGGTCAAAGGATACGCAAAAAACTGCAAAACTGAGATCGAGTGCTGGCAGCTATTTTTTCCAGATGATTTATTGGGCGATATCACAAAATTCAATAATAAAAAACTGGAAAAAATTAGAGAAAATTATTCTATTCAAAGAGACTGCTTAGAAACTTCAGTCGATGAAATCAAAGCTTCAGTTGGACTTTTATACAATGTTTTAACATTTTATTAGTCTCTTAATCGTAACTCCATAATTAAATTAAAAGTCAGTAATAGTCTGATTAAGAATTTGCTCAATTGATGGGTTGCGGGGCGCGGCGCTCATACACGAGTCGGAACGTTCCAAGGGTGGACACGAGCGCTGGAGGGTTAAGGAAAATAAATGTTTAAATGAAATACATATTTCCCATCACTGTAAATAACAGTATTTGGAATTCATGTAGAAACAAAAGCTTTTCAATACTATGGATTGTACTTGTTTTTATGTGTTATATTATTATGACCTATTTCACTTCTTAATGTCATCTGACGAACTCAT